CTAAGTTTCCTCAATATCTCGTAACACACAAGTGATAAAATGGAAATGAATGTATGTATAAACTAGCTCCATTCCCTCATGCACTTATGTGAAAACTGCATTGCAATATCTTTAACCGTTCAAGAATTGCAGGCGGTGTTAAAGTTACGGGGCTTACGCTCTATATTGAGTGCCTCAGGCAAGATGAACTCACATTGAGCAAGGTTCAACAATGGTTGAACTGAAGGCGAAACTGAAGGCTATCCAACAACTTTACCAACCTGTGTGTCATGTGCTCTGAAAAGAGCATTTGTATTTTCGAACAGTGCTTCGCTTCATCTCGATGGCGCGACTTAAGAATTATGTCAGCCCTCCTCGAACTATTGTGTTCTGGTACCCTGTTATACTCGAAAGGGTTTCGAGATAGAAGCATCAGCAGCAATATTTCGTCCTGTCGAAGTCATCAATTAGGCATTCTGCCTATGATGCTAGTGTTGAATTATTACAAGTTTGCAGAATATTATGCTGCATCGTAATGGCATTGAGAGGTTTTACTTGTAAATGTATTTTTCTCTTGTCTAAACTTTGTTTACTTGGGAGAAGAAACACGTGTACCCGTAAGGAAAGAATGTACTGAATTACTAATGAAAGATGATGATGCATGCCGTAACGTTAAAGCGAACAAACATTTCTGACCATCGGTTTTCCACACTTGTGAGGCAAACAATTTATTCCACAGATTTTTCTGCCTTTACCAATCTTGTAAAATATGGAAATTCTTCAAATTGTTTTATGTCTTTATGTCAGAGAACTCTTGCTAGCCGTGAATTCAGCCCTCTATTCCCCTCAGATTATGTAGGATCATCGTTCAATAAATACCAATGGAAAATCTTTAATTCCTTGAAATGTTAAACCCACAGCTCTAAATATTAATATATTACGTCATCATCATTATTATTATTTCGTCATATTATTTTTTTAGCCCACAAAGGAGAACATTTGAGCGATCTGCATTATCTGCAAATTTTGGAAGGTCGAGATGAGCAAAAGGGGACGTCTGGAGTCCACACTCTTATGAATGCGATCTGATCAAGATGTAGTAATTGTTTTGAATAAATTGTGCAACATTATAAAAAAATTTGGTTTTCGGAGACCTTGGCCCGCATTTCCCCTCACATGGATCTATCACAGACTGCAATAGTTCCAGTTGTCGGGTGACGTGTTTCTCATTCGATTGAAACCCTGTGCGTGACTAGGACGCAAGGCGACAGTAGCGCCGTCGTTGGGCTTCCAAGTGTGAGGGGAGGTTCTAGTGTGCAAATCCGGACGGCGCGCAGCATGATTTTCCACACAATCTAGATAGGGAGGTGGAATTCAGCCTATGAATGGAGGAGAATTCGAGCGGCCGGCTGCTCTGATCTGTTGTTTTCCGTGGAGGCAGTACCCTAATAAACGGGCCACGGACGCGCGATCGTCCCTTCACTTACTTGAAATATCCTCATCCCTTACTTGCATGCACTACACTACCGCACATGACGAGACCAGTTGAGAGCTTAGAGCTTGTCCCTGCAGGGGCGGTGTGTCGCAGGTAAGAGGCACCTCGTTAGTAAAAACCTCACAAGCCGACGGGTACGGGTTGATCACCGACCCTTCAAGCGCAAAAAACATGCACTACACTCACGGGACTAATGACCTGAGAAGTTGACCCGCCCGGAATCATCAATCAACCGAGGGTGAGAGGCACGGCTGGATTTAGTTCGGTGCGACCTCTGAACACTTTTATACGTGATTGGGCACTCAGCACGGACAGAAGAGACCAGCGCTGATAGGCCAAGGGGTTGGTTTCCACTCAGATTCCTGCATTGGCCACATAGCTTCTATAAGCTATAGCTTTGTGTCACCTGTACTTTTCTCCCTAACGCACCTCCTTCCACCTCAAATGTACTAGAATAATATTCTTGGTAAATATGGCGTAGTATTCTGATTTTTAAATTACAAAAAATGAACGAATAATAAATACAAGCAATTCTGATTTCCACAAGCTTCCATTTATTGACTTTAGATTGTTACTATTGCTTTGCCTTCATTTATAAATCCATTTGTATTTTATTATTTGTTTGTATTAATCAGTTTTACATTATTATTTATAACACATACATGTTCATGTTGTGTCACTTGACACGTGAAGACACATGAAGTCAAAACGTACCTAAATATATAAACATAATATTTATGAATTAAAAATGACTATTTTGTATAATTTTAAATAGAATATGCAAGTGACGAGTATTGTGTTTTTTTTGTGTGTCTCAGTTGGGTATGATAAGACTGTACTTGAGAACTGTGTTCAAAAGTGAGTGCCAAATCCTCTACAAAATGCATTAGAAGCAAGTCGTTGAAACAAATATGCAGTCACTTTAAGAACTACCTTTATGAACAGGATTAAAGAAACAAGTAGTCAATATAATACTTATCAATCTTCAGTGACAATACGTATAATCTTGCTTCAGAGTGCTTAAGCAGTTATTATCCTATTATATGACAACTCAATGACACTTCACAAACACGTGCTTTGAAATGGCTTTGGTATCTCCAAAACAGCAGAAGTGGTAGGCATTGGGAGGACGTCAAACGTCAAAACGATATACCACCCTGGGAACAGCAAATTGTCAGTAACACATTATTTTTAATTTGTAACATGAATTTTTCTTTACACCATAAAGAAACGAGTACATTATTAAATAAACGGACGACTGTTGAATGTGATTAAAAATCAAAATAGGATGGAGTTCGTGATTAAATTGGTTTGGGCACGTACGTGAGCTCATAATTATTTAAATATTCAACATACAAAGCTATAAGGTATAACAACAGGTAATGGAAAGAATAGACGTTATCATAATCTTGTATAGAATTATGTAAATTTAATTCGTCAATACATTGTTGTATAATTAAAATAAATTTCACTTCATTAAATTTCTTGCTACACAAGTATATTCTTATAAAATGGATAAGCAATACCAATGTATACTATTTATTTCAGCTCAATCAAACCACATTATTTATTAAATATGAACACCAGTTCAAATAACATTTCTCAAAAACTTAATGCGTGGGTAAATCTTGTACCTCTATGAAGTAAAAGTCTTTCTCTATAACATTCCGCAGATTTAATGAGAAAAACTCCAACATTGATATTGAATTTTTCCAATGTTCATCTTTTGTAAGTTTTGAAAATATAGAATTTGCCGAAAATTGGATACGTTCCTCTTATTAGCTTCTACTGCTTTATCCACGGGAAAACAAATGGAGCATTTTGTGAGAAAATTGTTTCAAAATTTCAAAGAGAAAGTACGGACACGCCGGAAAACGGCGATTTTTCGACAGAAAACCTTTATTGCCGGGCCCTGGTAACGAAAAAGGGCACGAATCTTCCCTTTATGGAATAATTAACTTTCTTTATTATCTTGTGTATTCAGAATATATGTTTTTGGGCCTTTGATACCGAACAATCGACTGACGGCATAACATTTGTCTGTCCGTCCATCCTCGCTCAACTCTAGTACGTAAACCGTTCAGTCAATTTTCTCCAAAATTGATATCCGCCGATTGATGTAAAAGAATTCAACGTCCTCCGAGTCTGAAAATAATATTTTGATTTTGGGGTAACTTTACATAAAATCTCAATTACATTTTCAAAATATAAAATATGGCTCCATATTTTGGAAATCTCTGAATTTTTGAAAATTGCAAAAGTTCAAATTTGTTCGGCATCTTCCTCATACTACAATTTTGAAAATAGAGTTTTTGTAACAAAACATGATCTTTAAAACATACCTTGAATTAACGTCCTTGAAATAGTGTACAATTTTTCGAAACAAATTACACACTTTCGCGGAATTTTACATGAAATTTAGAACAATTTTTAATCAATCATTTTCTCAAAAATTGTTTCGATTTTTTCTTTAAATTTTCTCGTAATATGTATCAATCAACGGGGGACGGTGGTGTTAATCTCATTTAGGTGAACATGCTTAATATTCGGAAATTGCACAAAGTTAATATTGTAAAATTACAAATTTGAAGGAAGAGATTTTTGTCTTATTGAAATCTGACCTAATTACTTAGATCTTTAAAAAATATCATGTACAAATTTTCTTTCAAAAAGTAGTTGATTACTTGATAGATTATTTTGTTTCCGGACGCGTCAACTGATTTGGTCAGTTGTGCATAAGTGTAGTGCATGTTTTATCACGAGACATGGCGTTGAATTTTCTCTGTTGGAAGAAATCCCCTCCAAGGGGCGCTACTCAAGCCTGGGCAAACTGAACTGCCGACCTGTAGTAATGTAGTGCGTGTTATTGTAAAGGAAATAATCTCCACAAAAGTTTTAATAATTTTATTAATAATTTTCCAAAGTTAACTTTCGGGAAACACTTTTCCCATCCTCAGTGGATCTTGCTCAAGCAACGTGGATCTCCCATGAATGTTTACAGATGGTCAAAAAATATAAAGTCCGCAATAAGTCCGTGGTGCGTGTGTCAGTAAGGGGTGAGGATAAGACCAGGGATGGGAAGGAAACATCGCGTGTGGTCACTTTGTTCGTTTGTTATGGTACTGCTCCGGCATTCACCTGGTGTTGATCTGAGAAACCAAAGTAAGCCGTCAGCCATTGATCTGAGAAATCAAAGTAACCGAACGTCGGGATTCAAACCCTACAAACTCCCGGTCGATGGAACTGAAGTGACATCAGTTGATACCCTGAGCCCCTTCACTTGGCGCGCATGGAATAAATTCAGTGATGGCAGAAAATATCCCATGGTAGTTCATATTAATATGAATAAGGCTATTCTATTCTATGTCTATTCGACTAAGCTTACGGTAAGTGATCCCGAAGGGTTGCCAACCTACACCATGAATGTGACGATTATAATTAATAAATGTATTTAATTGTTTATAGAATGATTATGATATTTGTAGATTTTGCTGGGGGCGGATATCACTCTTGAGATGGGTAGAAGTGCGTTGAATTCAGAAACAACGCACCGAAATCCCTACCTGGATTATCGGCTCCGAACTACTTTTCCCAAAGTACTCAATTTTCAAAAGGCGACCGCGTACCATCAAATATATATTGTGAATAAACAAAAAACTCGCACAAAATGTTTCTTTTTATCCACTTGTTAAATAATTAAATATCGTTTTACCAAAACTAATCTATTGACCGTTGGAAAATTTTGTTGTTTATGTTAACAAATTTGAAGTTTTATATTAAAGTTTTTATTATCTTGTTAATAAGCTTTATTAAAATGATTCTCATAGTCAATATTCTTTACTTTAGGGATGTATTTAACAATTTTTATTGCATATTTGCATTCATATTTCTTCTTTTGGCAGAATTTTAACTTTCGGGTTCTTCGTATGCCATCAAAAATTCAAAATCATTGCAGTTGTTTTCTCTCGTTCAACCCACGTACGATGTCAATATTACCAAATTTGACCTCATTTGACAACATGCAATCACAAATTACTTTCTTTGCATTAATTTGTTCGGTCTCCTGTTATACTTAAATAGTCAATTTGCACATTTTGGCGTTGCATATTTTCAAAATTTTCAAATTTATTTGGTGCAAAAACTCGTAAATACATTATGCGAGGAAGACCGTAGAACCAATACAGTGAAGTTACAAAAACCATGTGACATATTTTATAGGGTGAAAAAGAACTGAAGTTTGAGTATATTTTGCTACAAAAAGTTGAAATGATACATTTTGGGAAAGTAATTTTAACATATTATCTTTTTTATCTTTTAATAAAAAAAGATGACGTTAGATAACAAATTTGAACATTGTGTCTTGCCGCGAGATGAAGTAATGAGTCCTTTACCAAATCACATACGCTGATTGCGAAAATGAAATCAGAAATGGTCTATCACCTACCAATTTTCCTGGAAAAGCTACTCCACAAATACTACTTACGAAAAACTTGGAAACATCTCAGTATCAATACAGGAGGAATCTGTTGTTGATGAATATACAGATCATGTTACAAAAATTGTTTGTATTGAAGTTTTTTATCATTAATTGTTAATATTACA